AGTCGTGATTGACTGTCATCTGAACTGGAAGGCACATATTTCAATGCTTTCAAATGAAAAGATAAAACGTAACGTTGGAACTATATCAAAGATAAGACATTTTGTTAGCAGTGATATTAATTCTTAGGAACCTCTACTACTCATTGATTTATCCATATTTAATATATGGTTTGGTAGTTTGGCGGAACACTTATTGTTCTTCTCTTAATCCTTTATTTCTTTTACAAAAGAAAGTTGTTAGATTAATGACTTTTTCTAGTTATTATGAACATACAAACCCGTTCTTTATTAAACTTGAGATTCTAAAGATACATGATCTTGTCATTTATCATAATGCATTATTTATGTATGATTTTCATAGCGATAATTTGCCAGATACATTTAATACATTCTTTCTACATAATTATAATACTAGACTTGCTTCAAGATCATCATATTCTCTTCCTCGTATAAGAACCAATTATGGGAAATTTAATATCAGATATTCTGGTGCAAAACTATTGAATGATATTGATGATGAGACAAAGAAACTAAAACCATCGCAATTTAAGAAGAAATTAAAAAAAAAATTATTATCGAAATATAATGAGTGAAATTGGTATTCTTCAATATTGGAATTATATTCTTAAAATATATTCATTGATAATTTGCATAATAATTTGATTTCAATTTCATATTTAAGATATTTAACCGTCTGAGCCATCTCACTATTTGATTTTAATAATAACGACAAGCAAACTGTCTCGTCTAACCTTTAATATGGTTATTACAGTTAGCTTGCACCATTGTTTTGTAGAATTACAGTGTAAATAAGTATTTAGTTTAGTTAATGGTGCTTAATAAATTTTGATTTATTGATTAATTATTGATTGAGCGAAACGTTAGCTAATAATTTTTTTACTTTTATTATGTTTGGATTTAAAGTTATTTGCTGGTTTCTGCTCTTTATCTTTAAACTATGAGATGTTGATTCATTTTAGACTTTTGTTCATATACTGATATACAACAAGTACACTACCGGCGGAGTACCGAGTACTGAATCACTGTTGGAAAAGGAATTAGCCTATATCACCACAAAAATTCAAGCTTATTTTTAAAGTCATATAGTTTTTCCATGGATAAAAGTAGTTTTTATGGAGTTAAACATAGGGCAAGTACGAATTTGCCCTGGAGTCAGAGGATATTGTTTTCGTATTACGAATTTAATTAAAGATCAGAAGGTGAAGTTGCACTTGTATATCTCACTTCGAAAAAGATATACATATAAAACAGGTAGATTTGTACGGCGAAATTAAACTGCTGCAACAGAGTTTTTATTTCTACTTTTACGTTTTTATTCCAAAGCAAACACTTCTAAGTTGGAAATGCCTAAAATTGTGAGCGTAGAAACACTAAAGAGTCAAGAAAACGACTTCATAACACGAGTAGTTTTGGCAAATTTGGTGTGTGTTTTTAGAATTTAGTCACGCGATTAGCTCGCGCTCACGTGCACTCCACGCTTGCGTTTCACGCGCATGCGTAGACGAAAGTCTACCCTGTTCCCTCTGTACGAACACCGCGGAAAAACGTCTGCGCATGCACCAAATTATGAAAATTTGGCGGGGAATTTGAATATCAATTTCTAAAACAAAAACATGCTTATTAATTGGTCAAAAATTGGTAAAACAAACGAGAAAATATAGCAAATGGGTAGACTAGACATTAATTGAAAGCGTCCTGGCATTTAAAGTATGGAATGAAATATAATTCATGTAAAAAATTGTTGATTTTAACGGACACGACTTCGAAAATTTTTGCAAAATTATTTAAAACAAAAATTGAAACTCAAAAGTTAAGAAAACTCTCGAAACGTTAAGCTTCTTAACCCACTCAAATTGTAGAATAAATCCTAAAGTTTAATTATTCTGAACACGAAAATTTTTTATATTTGGCGACACAGTTTTTTTTAAAGAAATGCATCTCAAACGAAAATTCGGAAATTGTCGTTGCTTAGTTGATAAACAAAATGTTTCAGACGATAAATTTGTCAACAATCACCTTTAGTTCATGTTCTTGTACAATACAACTTCTTGAACCTTCTGGCTGTATTTATTCCTAGTTTTTAGAATAACATGTTTATTAGGTAGGGTTGACGCATGCGCAGACGTTTTTCCGCGGTGTTCTCTGTACGTGGATATAGATTCATGTCTCGCTGTTTATGAGTTAGGATTAGCGGTTAGGGTTAGGGTGAGGATTAGGGTTAGCATTCATAAAGAGCGAGACATGAATCTAGTAATCCACTTTAACCCCCTCTGTTTTAGCGAAGTCTCAAGTTCATCCATGATCGCGGACGTGGGTGACCAACGATGTTGAGTGGGTGGTCATCCTCACTGATCTCAAAATATGTGGCGGACTCTCATGAATAGCGAACACTGATTGGTCAAATTTACAATTTGTTGTTGAATGAGAAATAACGACAGAGAGATTGTCAGCGAAATAACAAACATTTCTTGAAAATCAGCAAATATATTGCATCGGTTTTTGCAAGATTTTGCAAATTTCAAAACGTTTTTGAGAGCCAAAAACCGTCTGAAAACGTCTAAAAGAATGGAGCATGCAAAGTCGCCGGCGTTAATGAAGGTAAGTTTGTTTTTAATTTGATGTATTGTTTGCTTTTAGTTTTAAAGATGCGGTACAGTCCGATCTGCGCATGTGCATAAAGGAGCCCTCTTTTTATTTACAAACAGTTTATTAATAGGTTTTTATTTCATTTTATATACTTGCAAAGCTTGATTGTTGTGTCTTGATAATTTATTATCCTCTGGAATCATGAAAATATAAATAGTTGTCGAATAAAAATTCAATATTTTGGATACCGAAATGTAAACAAAGCCTTTGTTTACATACGGACTGTACCGCATCTTTAAGAACATTTTAAAACGTTTTGCGTCTTTGCGAAGCGTTTCTGGTTGAATTTCACATTAAATTGAAGCTTATATTACGTATGTAAATAACATACCTAGGCCTAGCATTTATATGTTTGGGAAATTGATCATTTTGTAATTAAAAGTGATATTTTGGAGGGATTTTTCAATTTTAAAATTATTCTTAAAATTATCGTGTTTAATACCATGACAATACTTCATGTTTGGAATTCAGCAAGGCGAGGGTTTCTGCATGCATGTATTTTCTAGTATATTATTTGCAGTGGCAGTTTATGGGGGGTGAATAGGGGTATACAAATCCGCCGATCCGCCCAAATTTGAAGCAAAATCCGCGATCCAAGCCAAAATATTAGATAAATCCGCAATCTGCTGCATTAATAAATCCGAAATCCGTGTAAAACATTCGCCAGATCCGAAATCCGGACAATTTTTTCTGTGAAATCCGACGATCAGAAAACCTATTCCTTTATTTGTGACGTCCTGACGTGTGCATCATTAGCGTGTGTTACATGAAGTATTAACATTTGGAGAAAGAAAGGAAACATGAAAACAAATATGGGTTGCCAAATGGAAAGTGTAAAAAATGTTCTGACGAAGAAAATAACCATCGCATCGTTCAATATAAAATTGCAATAAACGGACACTTTAAAATTGAGATTGGTTGAGCAGAATAATACATGGCCATGCGTGCTGCAGAGAAAGGTAGTGATTTTAATTTGTAAAAGATGAGCTAGTGCCTAGTGTATCAGATTGACACAAATATATGCCAGTATGGAATGTAACATTTCTGTCCACCGCACAACATAAACGCAACTTTGGTTGTGCACCTCCACATGTTGTGCACATATAAGCAGCTCATGACTTGTGTCCATTCTAAATTAAGGGGGGGGGGGGATAGCAAGTGTGTAGCAGCGAAGGTCAAAATTTCTGAATTTACCAATTATTTAGTTGTTACACACAATAGTACTAGACAGTAGATATTGAAAAAAAATATATAGATAACGTACATACGTTGTGAAAATCCAAATATTTTGTGCACCAATCAGAAGGAAATTATGTGCCCCAATGTGGACCAAAGAGGCTATTGGGTAAGTTGTGCACCAATTTGTGCACCAACAGCAGCCTTTGTGCACGGCACATGTACCGTGCATATCGCCTTCATTCCATACTGGAATATATGGGCGTATATTTTGCAATAAATATTTTTATAAATGAAAAGAGGTGCACAGTCTTCGGTAAGCACTTTTCAGCTCACTGATGTACAGGCTAAAAGCCATCCTAGAAAATTTTAGATCCATTTAGGCCATGTTTTTATGGAAACCACTGAGTGCATGATGATGATGGTTAATTTCAGCCATTTGTTGTGGGGTTAGGGTGAATGTTAGGGTGTTATTGAGGGATTACAACACTGGATGCCAAGGTTATTGACATCACCCCAATGAACGTCTTTGAGGTATTCAAACCTGTGCATACTTGGGGCCGATCAAGAGGTCAGCATTCTAAGGACAACATCAATATTCAAGTTGCCACTGAAAACATCAAATTGAAATTTTTATCCAAACCCCCCACCTATCACTGGGTGAGAGGCGAGGGGGCAGCACCCAATTTCGACAGAAAAGTCAGGCAAATTCTACTCGAGAGTTAGGCATTTTTGCATCTTAGTGGAGGAAAGGTCCATGAAAACTGGAGCAAAACTTATTCATAATGAATTAAGTTTGTGCACATAGAACATACTATAATGTAATTTTGCATTTTTGCATGGAGCTTACAATGTTGGTCAATATCCATTACAGTCAAACCGGATGTTCTCTTGCGAGCAACATTGCAATATTGTCCCACAATATTGCAATTTTGATAGTCTGAGCAATTTGCAACCGACGCGAACAAATTGCAAGTTGAAATTCACAAACGATTTGTAAACAATGCCTCTGATTGGACTATAAGAAAGAGGGAAGTACCAAATCCAGTTGCTCAGACTATTTGATTGGCTTCCCACTTTCTTATAATCCAATCAGAGGCTTTGTTTACAAATCTTTTGTGAATTTCCAACTTGCAATTTGTTCGTGTCGGTTGCAATTTGCTCAGAGCAATTTGCCTATCAAAATTGCAATATTATGGGACAATATTGCAATGTTGCTTGCAAGAGAACATCCGGTTTGGCTGTAATGTTGTGCATTTTATGTTCTGCCCCCCTATATTTTTGGTGCCGATATGCCCATGCCACCCATGTTTGACAAGGTCAACCATTATGATAAGGCCAAAAAAAATATGTGGGTTTCCGGTTTCCCGACCCTACCTAGCTTTTGGACGTCGAAATCCCGACCCTAAACTTTTTTATTGGATCATGCTTGTAAGTGTTACCACTTAGAGGAAAAGTTTGTGGAAAATTGAAATTTGAGGCAATATTAGGGAAATTTATCTTTGGATGTGGAGGCACTGACTAAACAAAATGGCATCCGGTTGTTAGGAAAATTAAAAAAAAAGTTTAAAAAAAAAGTTAAAACCGACCTACCCTACCTAAGTTTTTATAAGAAGAAACCAGAAACCCACATATTTTTTTTTTGGCCTAAGATTGTTTGAAAATATTCATTTTGCAACCATACAAACATTATAGGATACCGTAATAGTTTCCATGGTGACTTGAACAAAGATGTGGCCACTGTGTGTGATCTCACTGTGCAATTACTTTTATGTAGCCAATTAATTCACAGGAATGCAGAATCATGCATACTCACAGTTATACGATTGTGCACTTCTCATTCACATAACATAACCAGGATGCACAAAACCTGAGTGAGCACCATATTACATACCTGGGACGAGGACTCAAGTCCAAAAAATGAAGCCTTCAAAGATGGTGGAAATTGAAGAGCTACAGTATTGGACGTTAACCCAGTCCTTTTTTATTGCTTTTGTCTGTGGGGAGTGTGCCTGTGTCTGTGGGAGGTGCATAAGTTGCATATTAGTAGAACATGTTAGCAAAAATAGTAATATACAACAAACTGTGTATCAAGGCGGTTAATACAATGGTACATGTTCCCGTTTATAATATTCAACCAGTTGATTTCTAAACTGGGTTAGATCAGAATTTCGTTTAATTGCGAGGAAGCTTATTCCATAACTCAATGGTTCTGCATGGGGAATTGCAACACTTGATTAAATCGCAACACTAGATATTGTGTATTTTATCAGATGAGTGAAGACTAAATGACCAATAGTTTATTATTACTATTAATGGGTGTACAGTATGTTAAAATCACACTCAGTACAGTCTAGCGATTTTGTCGGCGATTTTATCTTCCTTGGGCCGATGTCACAGGAAATTTCCCCCCCCCC